TTTCAAAATTCATGAAGCTGATTCCCCAGCTTCTAAATCCCTCCCTAAGACCTGCTGCTGCCTCAGCACCTACAAATCCTGCCCATCTGTCAGCAAGGAGGCTGGGCTAAGCACAGACTTTTAACTTTCTGACAAAGTCTGTTTGTTTCCTTGCTGCCCTGCTGCCCATGTTGGTCTGCTTTTGATATCCACTGTCTTCCAGCTGAGACATGGACTGGAAAATTCCTACACCTGTCACCTCTGTAAAATATCTGGTACTGAGCATAACAGGATTTGGTTCTGGACTGGTGTATTCCAGCAAAAACACAACACAAGCGGTGCCAATAATCATAGAACAAGGTAGTGTCACAGAGTTGACCTTTAAGGTCCCTTCCAACTCAAATCATTCCATGATTCTATGACAATACTGGAATAGTGATGATACCAAGATGAACAACAGCATGTGTGTGCGTTTGTGTGTCAGCACTAGGCAACAACTGACTTTTAAAGGCTGTTACAGTTACAGAGTCAAGTACTATAAACTTAAGAAACAGCATCGATAAATTTGGGTGCAAATTCAAAATTTTGTATTTGTTTTCATTTTGTTCATCAATCCCCAGGCAGACCTTTTGTGTACGATGCTGTATTAATGTTCTCTCAAGGTACAAACCTCAGCAAAGCTGGCAGGCTGTGTTTTTGAAGGGGGCAGCTCCTCACTTCCCAAAGAAGCAAGGGCAGAGATGATCCATGAGTCACGGACAAGACAAGGACCTTTCCTGTACCTAGCTGCTGAAGGGTAAGAACCAGATATAGGTTCTCTCAACTGTACAAAATCTTGTTGCATTCCCAGCTTTGGTGGTTAAAAAAATCATCTGGACATTAAATCAGCTACTCCATTTGTGAGTCGGGTGCATGATTAACCTTTACAGCAGTTTGACAGTGCTAAAGGTGTGATGAGCAAGGGCTGACAAAGGTTTTAGTTCCACTGTGAAATGTAGCAATGAGATTTATTTATAGCACCTGACTGAGCCACAGAACCTAAATTTTTTCACATGCACAGGTTTTCTCGGTTAATGGAGCTACTCACGGTAGAGGTTGGTAAGAAAGTTGCTGCCAACGAAAAACATTTCTTCACTTTCAGCTTGGGATGGTTTAGGCCGATTTCCAGCCTTTCCTGTGTCTCAAAAACACTCTTACTGAATATGTCTGGGTATGTAAAATATCTAAAGAAGGAAATCACTAAAACTAGTTCAGAAAATAAACTCAGAAGATGGTGGCAGCAAGGGTTGAAGTCATGACAAGTCTTCCTCTGGCCTGGTATTTGTTCACCAGGAATAAACCAGTGTAATCCTGAAAACTCTCAAGGAACAAGCCCAATTCTCTGCAGGGGCCAGTGAGACCCAGTGAGATGTGCTCTGTCTGACAATATTGAATGATAAACTGAGAATAAAAAATACCAAGGTCTCCACAATACTTCACCAGGCTGAAGTTCAATCCTTTGGCATCTGTAAGGTGGTTTAAAAATCTCCTTTATGGTGATTGACTGCACCCTGCAGATGACACCACAGGAATTTACTGCACTGAAACATAACACCTTAATGAAGGGGGGGGAAAAAAGCCCCTTTCCTTTTAATGCAAGCAACTTTGTCTGGTTTTCCCTTCAACCACGTAACATGATTCAGAGATAAGACTCTGTGGTTGTTAAGTTGCCATGATGGATTTTACAAAGGGGAAAATCATGTCAAGTTTATGTAAGCTTGATAGCAGCTGCTCTTTGGAAATACATCTTAATTATGGGTAAAAATACTAAGCCATAACTTGTACAGTTATTGTAAAAACCTCATTTTTTTTTTTTTTGTGACATAATTCTAAGCATTAGCTCTTCACTGAGGTTAGCATTTATTTATAGGTTGGATACTGCAAGGAGGTAGCCCAGGAAATGCTACTTGATGATGGTGGTTATTAGACAGGCCTGTTAGTGACCCCCCCCTATTTTATCTGTATTTAATTATAGAATTACTGCCATAATGCCCTAAGTTGTATCTGAGAACAAGAGTCAGCTTTATTTGTGAGACCATTATATGCCACCACTCACAACTTCTTAAAAAATGATAATGGCCTTTGGGATGAAATCTTTCAGCCCAGTATTGACTTTCTCTGCATGTACGGAGTTTGGCAAAATTCAGCCTTTTTTCTTTTTATTACTTATGGATGGAAAAAGATGACTTGAATGATAAAAAACTGAAATTTTGGTCAAATTTTGGGAGGCCGTGGGCACCTAGAAATAGCTCCATTAAAAACATTAAATGGACAGTTATTAGGAGTTTTGCAGTTATACCAAATTTAAAAACCTAGATGAGAAATAAAGAAGTTAGGTTGGAAGTTTTCAGCTTGCAAGTGCCAGTGCACTCAGGTATCCCCACTAGCTGCTGACATATGTGAAGTTAATCTGATGGATATGTTTGATTTTTGTTCTCTGTTCTATCTCTCTTATTTCACAGTAGTTAATTTTGCTGGTAAATTAGTAAGAAAATATGCTACAGCTCTGATGATGGGGTGCTTTCTCTTGGCTCCGGTTCCAGTTTTTAAATTGTGATGTTATTTAATAGGGATGATTATTAAGATGCATAATATTACGCCACTGACTATAACAAAGTGAGTATTTTTGAAGAGAAAGATGAAGATAAGAAGCAGCTGAAGTGTGGTTTTGTCCAGGCGGTGTCTGAGCATCTATTGATTATATGCTCCCAACACTTAATTAATTGCTGAAGTATCAGATCATCTCATGTTTGCTGGTGAGTGGGTCTTAACATGGAGATGTAATATTGATAAATGGTGAATAATTTGCCCAGATCAGAAATCTGTGGCAGAGCAAACAGTGGAGGTTGGGGTCTCTCCAGTCCACCACACTAAGCACAAAGTTATGATTTCTGTCGCAGTGAATGGGTCTAATAACCATCAAAGCATAGTGATTATGCAAATCATTGTACCCTGATTGAGCAATAAAAGCTATCAACCATCCGGAGTTAAGGGGTTTGTGTATTGTATGATTACTGAGAAATAAAATCAGAGTGATTATGCAAATCACCCCCTTCAGCCAATAGGACTGAGGGATGCAATGGGAAAAAAATGCCTATTTGTGCCTCAATAACAATATCCCTCAATACAGTATCCCTGAGCTCCAGTTGCTATTATTTTTGTTATTTGACTGCAGAACCGCCCAGAAGCCCTGATCAATCCAACATAAAAGATAATTGTTTTCTTCTGGATTTTGCATCATTTACATGTTGGACAAACGACATTTGGGATCTGGGCTGAGTTCCTGCTAGAACCCTTAGTCGGGGATATAACGAAAATCAATATATATTGAGGAAACACGGGGGGGTGGGGAGTGGAAGGGGAAATGCTGTCTGTAAGATTAAATAAAAATATAAACCCGCATATTTTTGCACATGTTTTTGATTAATTCCACTGATACTAGCTTACTAATGGCCACGGGGGCTGCCCCGCGCCGGGCGATGTCTCCCAGCCGGCTCCCACTGCCGGGAGACGCCACGTTACTGCATTACTGGAGGAGGAGGAGGAGGAGGAGAAAGAGGAGGAAAAAGAGAAGGAGAAGGAGGAGGAGGATGCGCCTTCCTCCCGCACCCACCGAGACCGAGGGCACTCGGTACATGGAGAGTGGAGCTTCCCGCGAGTCACCCGCCTGTGCCGGGGCTTCGAGGGACCCAGGGGGTCTGAGGGATCCACGGATCCGAGGGATTCAGGGGGCTCTGAGTGTTCCACGAGGCTCCAAGGGATTCACAGACCGAAGGATCCACGCGGCTCCGAGGGGTCCACAGATCCGATGGACACCAAGGGCTCCAAAGGGCTCCATGGGGCTCTGAGAGACCCACAGACTGGAGGGCCCAACTAGGCTCCAAGGGATCCATGGATCTGAGGGATCCATGGACCGAAGGACCCGGAGACCTGAGTGACCCATGGACATGAGGGATCCACGAGGCTCCAAGGAATCCAGGGGACTCCATGGGATTTACAGATCCAAGGGATTCAGGGGGTTCCGAGGGATCCACGGGGTTCCGAAGGATCCACAGACCCAAGGGATCCACGGACACAAGGGACTCACGGACACGAGGGACCCACAGGGCACCAAGGAATCCACAGATCTGAGTGATCCACAGACATGAGGAATCCACAGGTCTGAGGGATCAAAAGGCCTGAGGAATTCACAGGCCGGAGGAATTCACAGATCTGAGGGGTCCACAGGGCTCCGAGGGACCCACAGGCCTGAAGGATCCATGAGGCTCCAAGGGATCCATGGATCTGAGAAATCCACGAACCCAAGGGATCCACGGATCCAAGGGATCCAGGAGGCTCCAAGGGATTTACAGACCCGAAGGATTCAGAGGGTTCCGAGGGACCCACGGGACTCCGAGGGATCCATGGATCTGAGGGACCCATGGAGATCCGAGGGATCCACAGGGCTCCAAGAGACCCACAGACCTGAGGACCCACGAGGCTCCAAGGGATCCACAGATCTGAGGAATCCCCGGACCCGAGGGATCCATGAATCCGAGGGATCCGCAGGGCTCCAAAGGACCCAGAGAGCTCCGAGGGATCCACACGGGTTCGAGAGACACACAGACTCGAGGGACCCACGAGGCTCCAAGGGATCCACGGATCTGAGGAATAAACGGACACGCGGGATCCACGGGGCTTAGGGGGAGATTCAGGGAGCTCTAAGGGGATTTACAGACCCGAGGGATTCAGGGAGCTCCGAGGAATCCACGGATCCAAGGGACCGAGAGATCCGCCAGAACCCCCGGGCGGTCCGAGCGCCCGGACGCGGCTGCCGTGAGGGGGAAGCCCCGCCCCCCCCCGCCCTCGTGGGGCAAGCCCCGCGCGCTGCCCGAGGCCACGCCCCTACGCCACACAGTGTAGACAAGGCCACGCCCCCTCCGCTCGCGGAGGCCCGGAGCGACGGCCCCGCCCACGAAACCCCGCCCCACAAAGCTCCGCCCCTCCCTAAGCCCCGCCCCCCGCCACGTCCCGCTCGGGCTTCGCTCCCGCTCCCGATCCCGCTCCCGATCCCGATCCCGATCCTAATCCCGGTCCCGGCCCGGCCCCGCCCCGCCGGGCCATGGCGTTCACGCTGTACTCGCTGCTACAGGCCTCGCTGCTCATCGTGAACGCCGTGGCCGTGCTGCACGAGGAGCGCTTCCTGCGGCACGGTGAGCCGGGAGGGCCGCGCGGCCCGGGGGAGGGATCTGGGAATTCGTCTGGGATCTGGGGATGGGTTCCCGGCCGCTCCCGTCGTAGCTTTGTCTCTCTCTCTCTCTCTCTCTCTCTATGTGTGTCTTTCTCTCTCTCTTTTTTATTTTTTTATTTTTTTCCCCTGTAATTGTGTGTTTTCCCTGCCCTTTCCCGCTGTTCCGCGCCCGTCGGGATGTTTGGTGCCGTGCAAAGGTTTTCCTTCCTCTCGCCGCACCTGGTTTTTTGATGAGATGGCGCTTCTCGGCCCTCGGGGTCCTCAGGGTTGGGCATCCTTGTCCTTCAAAGGAACCAAAGCTCTGCAAAACAGAGAAAATCCGTCACAGATCTGCAAAGCCACGGAAAAAAATACTGATAATCCAATTCCCTGATCTGGAGAATCCTGACTTTCCTCCACGTCTTTTCTCCACGTCAGGCTGAGCTGGGATTTTTGGCAGGAGTGCAAAGGGTTATCTCCCGTTCCCCAGTTGGAATCGCTACAAGGGATCTGCTCGGTGTGGGTCTGGGGTTTCCTTTTGCTTTCCTGATGAGCAGCAGCTGCGGGAAAAGGGGGATGTGGGGGCTAACGGGATGGGTGAAGCCACTTGTCGGCCTCGGGAGACTTGGGAATAGCTCCAAGCTCATCCAAGTGGGAAACAGCACCTGGCGAGGCAGGTGAGGGAGAGGAGGCAGGTGAGGGAGAGGACGAACCACCCTCATCCTGGTGCCAGCTGAGCGAGGGAGACAAAAGGGGGGGAAGGAATCCCGCAAAAGTCGTCCCTGGAGAACGGGAACTCGCAGGTTGGGCATTGGAATACAGAGAGCTGCTCCATGCTCCACTCGTCCCCTGAATGGTAAGGGCTGTGCCTGGCAGGTCTCAGAAATCCCTGGACACATCCCTGAACCCGTAGCTGTGCCTCCCTGCAGAGGGTCAGGACTCCCTTGGAGGGCTTTGAAAACCTTCAGGACTTCGGTCCTGCTCGGAAAAGTTCCCAATTTTTTCCCAAAAGTTCTCTTTTTTTTTTTTTTTTTTTAATAGCAGTTACAAAGTCATCATCCTGACTTTTGAAGTTGTGCTGGCTGTTTTTCCTTTCTCAGCGCTGAGGCTTCATCACTTCACCCTCATATGCAATGATTTGCTGTTTTATTTTCAGGCCTGTGAACAGACTGTGGTTGGTTTGGGTTAATTTTGGCAGGTGTCTTTTTGAAGCCCAAGTGAATTCTGGTGTTTCTCTGGGCACTTGAGGAATAGTAGAGTGTTAAAAAGTTGAGGGTTTCCTTTACAGGAGCATGGATCTATCATTGCTTAACATCAGGTTTAACAGTTTCCAGTCTATTCTATGAAAATCTGATCATGGAATAAAGCTAACAGGTGGTTTGCCTTTCAGTGTTAGTGTAAACCATGTTCAGGATGGATTGTTCATTAAAATTACAGCATTGGTTTCATGGTTTGGGGCTTTTTTTCCTGAAGTGTTTATCTGTTTTTACCTGACACAGTTGGCTGGGGAACTGACCAAGGGATTGGAGGATTTGGAGAGGAACCAGGAATTAAAGCACAGCTAATGAACCTTATTCGATCAATACGAACTGTCATGAGAGGTAAGGAGACATCATTATTATTATTGTTGTTGTTATTGTTATATTGTGTTTGTTTATTTGTTGTTACCATTCTGAGTTTTGTCTTCCCTTGGAGTTTGGGAGCTGGGGGGAATCTCAGTGGTCAATCAAAGTGTGCAATTAGTTTCACCTTGTCTAAGTTCAGTTTTATGGCAAGTACCTGGTGAGGGAAACGTGATTTCAGGGATCCTGAAGTAAACCAAGCTTTTGTGCCTCAGAAGATGGGGGGAAAATATGCTTTATTTGTAAGTTACTGATAGCTTTTTACTATAAAGCACGGCAAAAATTCCTTTTTTATGTGAGGATAGAGAAGAAGTAGCAAATCTTACCTCTCAGGCCCACGACTGAGGGAAAAACATTTATTCTAAATCACAGTAAAGCCAAGGACAGCAACTGACTTTGAGATGGTTTAATTTCATTTGGAGAAAGAGATATCTGGGTTAAAGTTAAAACAGAACTCAAGTCTCTGGATTAAAGTTAAAACAGGCCATAGAAAAATATTTCTGCTGTTGCTTCCTACTAATTTTTATTATCTTAGGCTTTGAGCCTGGCTCCTTCCACTAGTCCCAATTTTGCGTGGGAAAGTTTAAGTGTATTTTTTAGTTTTTGATTGATTCTGCTCCTTCTCCCAAGGTATTCTCTGAAGATAATATGAAGCTCGGTGGTTTTGTGATGTGGAAAGGAAAGCTTTCACAATTAATGTTCTTTTCTTTTTCCTTCTGCAGTGCCATTAATAGCACTGAACTCCATTACAATCGTTCTCCTCCTTTTGTTTGGCTGAAGACACCTCGTGAAAATCCTCTGGGCATCCAAAGAAGCCAGTTGCTGACCATCACTGCTCTGAGTTTTCTGGGATCCAGCACAGTTTAGCTCTCAATTCGACATCCAACTTAAAATAATAAAGACACTATTTCTATTCATCCTATTTCCCCATGTTCCCTTTCAGTTTCATTAACCAAGATCACGGGGATCAATGCAACAATGCTGCAAATATGTTGGACTGTGACAAGTTCTGTTGCTGCCTGTTCATAGTGTTGATGTCATAGAATATTGCAGTGACTGTTAATATAAGATGCAGTTTTTAAATGTCTCGTTACTCAGGGATGAATTTCCTTCAGTACGCTTTCCAATTTGTTTTTAAATTGAGGAAAACAGCAATGTTTTGGTGTGGTTTTTTTTTTTCTTTTTTTGATTTCAGTTACTACCACAGCACTGTTTCATAGAATATGAACACGTTATTGAGAATTCAATTCACGTTATAGGGGACTGAAGTCCAGTTGTGATATGGAGATAAAACCAGCTGGGTAAAGTTCTCGTTCTGGCTCACACTGAAAGTGGAATTTTCCTGGTTTGATTGAGAACAGGATTTTTCTCTTCAGATCTCTTCAGTAGTTCATGCTGATGGTAAAGTCAGCATGTTGAAAGTAGGTGCAATTGTTGTGCAAAATCAAAAAAAAAAAAAAAAAAAAAAAAAAAACCCACCTGTATCTGAAGCTGGGCAACTCTGTATTAATTTAGCCTAGCAGGGGATATTAATGATTAGCATTTGTTACTCTTTTGTCAAGACTTATTAAACTTTTTTGTGTGTTAAACTTCCTCGTGGTGATTAGTGTGGTCGAAGTGGGGAACCATTTGTATTCTGAGATTCTGGGAAATGCGGGAGAAGGGGAATACCATGGGAGAGGGGAAATACGCTGCCCTTTTCAAATGCAGTTTTTTGTTAAAAACCCGCAAATTTGCAGCCTCTTCTGTTACTGCTCCTTCCCCCACCCTCCATCTACAT